AACGTTGCAAGTTCATACGGGGCAAACAAATCAGTGGTTGATAGTATGAGCAACGATCCACGTCGTCGGCGTACAATGGCAAATAGTCAGAACACACGTCGTAGTGAGTTTGTTTTAACGCCACTGCAAACAGTATTTTAGTTACATCCCAAGTTTAATGTCGATGCCGGTCGTAGACGCTTACCCGAGCTCGCTTACGGCACTTACAGTCAAAAGATCATAATATACCCTGGGAACTGCAGGACCTTAATCCACTTGGCCACACGTGCGCACATAGTAACCAACAGATCGTGTTTAGTCAGCGTTTACAAGTACGAGGTACGGGGAATACCCGAATACGAGTTTACCCTACGACTCGCATTTCAGTAACTGTGGTGGTGAATGTTCTTAATTCATGATCCACGCGATTCATAATGATGTAACCCATCAGTGAACCCCCACGGACGTGCTGTCTGAGGTGTAAAGATTGTGGAACGTGACATGCCACACCAACCTGAATTAATCCACTGACTATATGCACTTTTATGACCATTGTACCACGTCTCCGACCTCTGTCGTATATGCAGACTTCCTTGATGAAGAATCAAATCACAACATATGAATTAGCCTTTTCTGTTGGTAGATTGATTGAGTATGGTTTCACGCCGCCTTTAGAATATTCTAGCAATATTCCAGAATTATTCCACGGCGGTGGACACCAGAAATGGGCTTCACACATTGCACTCAAGTGGGGAATCGAATTCGGCTTTCGGCGTGACGAGCGAATGCTTTAACCACCAGGTTACCCAACTGCCCCGTTGGTAGAGTGAGAGAATGTTGTTTTACACCACATACAGCTGTGCCAAGCCTGTAGGTGAGGTGAAATGGGGTTTCACGTCGCGTCCAAGATTATTGCACTTATATAGCGACGTGAATGTACGTGTGTGTGTTTGTGTGGCTGCTTGTGCTAGTCCGGACTGATGCCGATTTATAGTGCTAGCTCACTGAGATACCATGCCGCAGTTTAACATGAATACCCCACTCAGACACAGTATACTGACTCCGAGCCGACCAGTCCTTGTTTTAGCCCATTAATGCCGAGCGCCAGACAGGGTAACAACAAGTACCATCTTTTAACGTCTTTTGGTATGACGCGGCCGGGGATCGAACCCCGGACCTTCCGCTCTCCGGGCGGACGCTCTACCACTAGACCACGGAGGCGGTCTGCCAAGACTGTAAATAATCGAGTCTGAAAACAACCCAAACCAGGGGTCGATAGGAAGAGCACTGACGGACGCAATCGGGGCAATTTCCATACAATAGGTCAGGTGATTGCTCTATCCTCGGCATGGGCTGGGGTAGCCTTGTGGTTAAAGCGCCACCTCGTTAAGCTGAAAGCTCCGGGTTCGATTCGTAGAATGTATGAAATCCATTTATGCGTGATATGACTGGAGTATTGCTAAAACAAAACGGCTTAAAACTGTACCCAGTCGAAAGCATTCATTGGTGGACTGGTGCAAGTCTACACGTCCGACACTTGAAATGTAGACCTCGTCAGAATCTATGTATGAAATCAGAGCAACAATAACGCTTGCGTGCCGAGGTTCCTTCACGCAGATGAAAACTATAGATCAAAGCTGTTGCATGCTGTAATAGACGTGGCTAAACGTGGGCTGTGGGTGTATACAGTGTAAGCAGTATCTCCACTTCATCAACACGACGTTTACAGGCTGTCCACAGATCAGAGAGTGTCCGTACTAGTAATGGAACACGGGTCTTCTGACGGGCAGCTTAAGGGTGGAAAACGTTCCAACGCTAAGTCCCCTGTTATTTTTGCCACACGTGTACAAACGATGCCACTTCTTAATTTAATAATTAGCGTTGTTACAATATTGCTAAAAGGGGAAGACTACTCACTCACATCGGCGCCACGATCTACAACCCAAAGCAGTGCTAGCAAGAGTCGATCTACTTTTCAAAACTTAGCAATACCCAATCCATAACATCCCTTCCATACTTCCATACAAGTACAGGAACATCCCTTCCACACTTTCGTAAAGTACAGGAACATCCCTTCCATACTTCCGTAAACATCCCTTCCATACTTCCGTAAAGTACAGGAACATCCCTTCCATACTTCCGTAAAGTACAGGAACATCCCTTCCATACTTCCATACAAGTACAGGAACATCCCTTCCATACTTCCGTAAAGTACAGGAACATCCCTTCCATACTTCCATACAAGTACAGGAACATCCCTTCCATACTTCCGTAAAGTACAGGAACATCCCTCCCATACTTCCGTAAAGTACAGGAACATCCCTTCCATACTTCCGTAAAGTACAGAAACATCCCTTCCATACTTCCGTAAAGTACAGAAACATCCCTTCCATACTTCCGTAAAGTACAGAAACATCCCTTCCATACTTCCGTAAAGTACAGGAACATCCCTTCCATACTTCCATACAAGTACAGGAACATCCCTTCCATACTTCCGTAAAGTACAGGAACATCCCTTCCATACTTCCGTAAAGTACAGGAACATCCCTTCCATACTTCCATACAAGTACAGGAACATCCCTTCCACACTTCCGTAAAGTACAGGAACATCCCTTCCATACTTCCATACAGGAACAGGAACATCCCTTCCATACAAGAACAGGAACATCCCTTCCATACTTCGTGTAATTCCTGCAGGAATAGTCTCATGTGTCCTTGAATAACATACCTAAAGTGTTAGTCAGTATCGCCCATATATGTTCAGGAATCGCCATCCATACTTCGTGTGTTTTCTGTAAACATATTTTGTTTACGTTTCAACAGTCGTTGAACCTTGACAGATACCCACAGGGATCATTAATTCCCATGATGACCTCCCCAAACATACCATGTCTATCTCTTTATATGGCCACGTAAACGGATGTATTCCACAAAAAACATTTGACATGAAGTATTCCCCTTAAGCGCCAATAAATGTTTTAGACGGGATGGTGCGTTTTGGGGATTCGCGTTCAGTAATCGTGTAATGGTAATCCAAATATGTGTCCGAATGAGTTAGTTACAGTGTAGTCATACGTTTAGTTTTAGCATACCAGATCACTTTGATTTCTATTGGGCGGGGGGTTGGGCGGGGATGAGAACAATCTATTTTTCCCCTGCTGCATCCAAGATTATTTATGCACCAAACATCCTATTCATTTCCATTATTAACATAAACAATTCTTTTTAAAATAGTTTGTTCAGAAATATGCCCAAAATGAATAGTTTGTTTGCAGTGGTGAAATAAAACCAATGAATGGTTTTGTTTCGTGAAAATACCCAAGCGTCAAATTGTTTGTGTTAATAGTGAAATTAAATAGATTGTTAGATAAATAGTTTGTAATTTTTTTTCAAATTAATCCCCCCGACCCCCTCCCCAACAAATCAAAGGGATGCTCCATTATAAACCCTCCCGAATGTAGAAATGTCAAGTATGCTTATCCTGTCTGTGATTGACTTCACTGATAGATTGCAGTTGTTGTTCGAATGTGTGTAGCCTGTCATCGAAGACGGTAATCAATCACAACTGATCAATTACAGTCATCTCCAACCACCCCCTCCCTCTCCTCCCCTGCTCCCGACATACATACAACTATTCAACACATATTCACACACATATAGTTTCTCGTGAGAAATTCGGGAGGTGTGGGTAGTCTAGTGGTTAAAGCGATCGCTCGTCACGCCGAATGTCCGGGTTCGATTCCCCACAAGGGTACAACGTTTGAAAGCCCATTTCTGGTGCCACCTGCCGTGATATTGCTGAAAATATTGCTAAATGCGGCGTAAAACCATACTCATTCACTCAAGAGAAATCACACCCACTTTTATTGCCTGTCGTGTTTAGAAGATGTGATGTACACCATGAATAGATAACCTGATTAGTGGTTCAACTCGGTCTGAATATTGCTTAGTCACCTGCATTTGCCCTGTGGGTATTACTTGAACAAACTGGACCTCTTAAACCTGTATGTGGCCTTTCTCGGATCATCACAAGCAGTATCTTCAAACACGGGCGGTTGGTTTTAAGCCTTGTACCGGAACGAAGTAATGGGAGTGATATCCTTGTCCTTTAACACACAGTGAAACTGCTTTTCCTCACCTCACACACATCCTCTACCATACGGTTACCCACACAGCGATACATGTCTTGCCCTGATATGTGTCATCTCTAAATCAAGTTGTATATTTGACATTTTGTATTCGCTTTTAAGTTTTTATCAGCGTTAATAGTTTCTAACTGCCACCTCTGACGTAAGTACACAAGCGCAGGTGACATCTACGCTGTTAACACTGGAGACTACACACGCTAACGTATAACGTGTAGAAGACGACTTCACTCTCATATATTGCTCTCAGCAAAATAATTGTACATTACAAACATAAAAATATAATTTCCTCCAGTGCATAAACATAGAGGCAAAGTACATTACATTCGAACTCTGTTCTGTATTCGTGATCCTGATCTTATCTGAACATAGTTTGGTTTAAAAACAAAACAATCCATTATAAAAGACTAAAGTTTAAATTCCCTTGTTTTTGTAACAAAAACTTGTTCCAGAGACCTTATTGGTATATATCTGCTTGTCCTAAATATCAAAACATCACATTATCGTATTTTGAAACAATATGTATGGAATTCAACAATGAAGACATTTTACAAACTAAATATATACCTTTGGGGTAAAAATCCCTTATCAGTTATTAATAATCCCGGCTAATAACATCAAAGTCACTCGAAACTTTGCTTCACGACTCAATGAATTTAACAGCTAAATGACGGGTGCAGCCATTGCTCTCACGGCAGACATGTACCAGGACCACGTGCAAATATTTATATACAAACACAATCTTACAATCAGTACTATTTATTTTACACAAATGTCCACCTAGAGAGCAGACGACATGGGAAGCAGACGTGTACATGAATTTGTAGACTTGAGCCACACCTTGAAGTGTACACAGAATGTAAACAGGGCACTTACCTGCAGCCCGCCAACCCAGCACAGCCAAAACAATACCCAGCCAGGTTTTCTAAATCTCTGGCAGAAGTGTGGTTTAAAAGTTCCCCATTTACATGGCCCGCCATCATCTTCACAATCTGCCTGTATATCCGTATTTCCATCAGCGGGTATTTGCTTTGAGTCGGCCATCACATATCTTGAGCGTGTTGTCTGCCGTGGTCGGGACACCGTGCACTGAAGTAGGTCATACGGATACGCCCGAGTGCGCCGGTGTCGGTGACAGTGGAAGGGTTAACATCATTGTTATACGGGAAGCCGACAGCCACAGGCCCTTATTTGACATTAGTATATATAAGCCGGTGCACATAAATCGCAGCATACGGTATATTGCATAATTCACCACATAATGAATGAAAAGGCGGCTTGAAAAAAAAATGTACGAGTCTATCGGTTGGTAAACGCCAGTCAAGAGTCCCGGCCACAGGACGTGGTATTTCCCACCAGCGTTCAAACTAGATCTCTTCCCCTTGTCATTGTGTCTCTGTCTCATACAAAGACAACTGCCCACATGCGCTCCTGTGAAAAAAGGTGATTTAGTACACGGGCGGGCTAACGCACAGCTTGTATCCTATGTGCTATGTAATGGGTATTAACGAAATGCAGTTCTCAATTAGATTACATGTAAGTTAATTTTTGTTTTTGCTTTACACTACAGGCCGCATATTTAAGCTGGGTCACGACTGCCTGTTGACCTGTTGACAGTCGCGTCTGGGCACGACAAACCAGTGGTTGATATACTGAGCAGCAACCAACAGGCAGGGATATGATGGCGCACAATCATCCAAGTCACCGGTCTGACCAGTCGATCCATTAAAGTCGCCTCTTATGAAAGCTTTAGGTAAAAAAGTATATATTTTTGGAAAGCGGATTTGACCAAAAAATTACAAAAATTATCAAAATGTTACAAGGCTGGAAACATTCACCGAAACACCTCAAACTTAAGGTGCAGAAAACCACTCTGATTCTCGTCACAAATACATCATCATCGTCTCAGTACAGCAGATCACGTGATAGGGAATTATATTGTCTCAGTACAGCAGATCACGTGACACGGAATTATATTGTCTCAGTACAGCAGATCATGTGACAGGGAATTATATTGTCTCAGAACAGCAGATCATGTGAGAGGGAATTATATTGTCTCAGTACAGCAGATCATGTGACAGGGAATTATATTGTCTCAGTACAGCAGATCACGTGACAGGGAATTATATTGTCTCAGTACAGCAGATCACGTGACAGGGAATTATATTGTCTCAGTACAGCAGATCATGTGACACGGAATTATATTGTCTCAGTACAGCAGATCACGTGACAGGGAATTATATTGTCTCAGTACAGCAGATCACGTGATTGGGAATTATATTGTCTCAGTACAGCAGATCATGTGACACGGAATTATATTGTCTCAGTACAGCAGATCACGTGATAGGGAATTATATTGTCTCAGTACAGCAGATCACGTGACAGGGAATTATATTGTCTCAGTACAGCAGATCACGTGATAGGGAATTATATTGTCTCAGTACAGCAGATCATGTGACACGGAATTATATTGTCTCAGTACAGCAGATCACGTGATAGGGAATTATATTGTCTCAGTACAGCAGATCACGTGACAAGGAATTATATTGTCTCAGTACAGCAGATCACGTGACAGGGAATTATATTGTCTCAGTACAGCAGATCACGTGACAGGGAATTATATTGTCTCAGTAGAGCAGATCACGTGACAGGAAATTATATTGTCTCAGTACAGCAGATAAACTATAAACAGTTTAGTCTGACAAGACCACCCCTTTGTGTTTTAGCACGGGTAGCCCTGTCGTCCGAGGTGCCACAATTCGCTGTGCAGAGTTGCGTCCCTTTGGCACGCCAGAAACCAATGATCGTTGGTTGCATTATGTTTCTAGGTTTGTCAGCACCATAGCCGCTCGTGGATTTCACGAAAGTGATAAACGTCTGAGACTTACGTCACTTATGGCTTTCTTCCCATATTATGGTGACACGCCGTGATATGTTACACATCTGTGACGTAATTTATTGTTTGACCGCGCCTTTAATTTTCAGGAATGTGCAGTTGATTGTGTGTTCTCTGCCGCTGTTGCACGTGCTCCGTCGAGAGCTGATCTTTACAACGTTTTGTCAAAGTGTAAGAGTAGAGATGTGTTTTAAGTTGGGGGATATCCTCGTTACTCTTCTTTCCATAAAACTAATGCAGTCGAGGCCCCTAGGGAATGGAGAGTTAGACGGACATTATCCTCTCCGGAAATGTCTTTTTGCGACGCGCATGGATGTTGTGTATTTTACGAATGCTTCTCTTGGTATGCGCATGCTGATTTCATAATGTACGGTATCATTGAGTGAGTGAGTATGGTTTAACGCCGCTTTTAGCAATATTCAAGCAATATCACGGCGGGGGACACCACAAATGGGCTTCACACATTGTACCCATGTCGGGAATCGAACCCGGGTCTTCGGCGTGACGAGAGAACGCTTTAACCACTAGGCTACCCGACCGCCCCTGTACGTTATCACCCTACGCGAAGATTAAGTGAGGTGAGGTGAAAAGGAGTTTAACGTCGCGTCCAAGATTAATGCACTTATATAGTGACATGCATGCACGCGTGTGTGTGTTTCTAAATACCACTGCTTTCTAAATAACGTCACAGTCATGGCAATGCTTGGTTATTCTAAAGGTGTCTGTCTGTGTATCGTCTGACAATTTAACTTCCGAATTTACAATCAAAAGTAAGTTCTAAAGTTCAAAAGCTGACGTCTTCCAGCCTATTAACTATTATTTTGAAAGAAGAAAAGGTCGATTGATCGATCGATCGATCGATCGATCGAGAGAGAGAGAGTGTGTGTGTGTGTGTGTGTGTGTGTGTGTGTGTGTGTGTGTGTTAGAGACTAGATGGGAGAGAATGTCATATGCCGCAAAGTTAGGCCCATTGCAGAAATGTGTTTTAAAGTGGGGGAATATCCTCGTCACTCTCCATTCCTTAAAAAATAATGGGCCTCCATAATTTGTAAGGAATAGAGAGTTACTCGGACATTCGCCTCTACGAAGTGCTTCTAAGTGAAGTAGCTGTTGCTGGCTGCACCTGTGGTTAGCATTAGGGCTGTGTATAGCATTCGGTCGAGACGGCTCAAGACAGAACTTGATGCGGAGTATAATTCCCCACAATCATAGTCTATTTTTTATCTGATCCGTAATTTGTAGAGGTCCATGTGAGTGTCTCTAGAGGTACTCCAAGATGTGCCTGAAATTGCCCTTCCGCAATACATACATACGGAGTCTTTGATAGGCATTTAGAAGTCGATACAACATAAATACTTGACACATTTTATGGATAGCAACATCTTTTGTTCTTTGTCACAATTTTTCAGAGCTGCTTCTGGCCCCTTCGTTCACCTGATGAACAGCCATATAGCTGGAATATTGCTGAGAGCAGCGTTAAACCACAAACACCTGATGAAGGACCGCCTCCGTGGTCTAGTGGTAGAGCGTCCGCCCGGAGAGCGGAAGGTCCGGGGTTCGATGTCCGGCCGCGTCATACCAAAAGACGTTAAAAGATGGTACTTGTTGTTACCCTGTCTGGCGCTCGGCATTAATGGGCTAAAACAAGGACTGGTCGGCTCGGAGTCAGTATACTGTGTCTGAGTGGGGTATCCATGTTAAACTGCGGCATAGTATCTCAGTGTGCTAGCACTATAAATCGGCATCAGTCCGGACTAGTACAAGCAGCCACACACATACATACATGTGCATGCACGTCGCTATATAAGTGCAATAATCTTAGACGCGACGTTAAACTCCATTTCACCTCACCTCACCTCACCTCACCTCACCTCACCTCACCTCACCTGATGAAGGAGCGAGAAGTTGCTCTGAAACGTCGTGACAAAGAATAAAAGATGTTTCTGTCCATAAAAAGTGTCAAGTATTCACATACAAGCACGAAGTTTATGTGAGGATGTTTGGTGAGTCACATGCATGCTATGTACATTTCAGAAACGTTTGCTTTCCCAGCGAGTCCTATTGACTGAAGCGTACGTAAAATGTCAAGGCGTGGATGAAAGGAAAGCAAGTCGAATCCATATCATCCGTAGATGGGGACACTAAGCGACTTCACGCCAACTACGAATATGATGCACATTATAAAGCAAAACTATTGCAAACCCCTGACCCAAGGCTTATATTTTACACACATCTCATTAAAATCGAATCGTCAAACATCGACACAAACACAGAAACACAACTGTTGTAACAATGGACCTAGTAGTGTAAGATTAGGTGCCAATGCAAATTCAGTATGTAGACATTTATTGCAAGGTTGGATCGCCTGATTTGACTTTCCGGGTGTACATTGGGTACATAGAGGAAACTTTCATGGTAGAAAGATAGAATATATTACTTGTAGGGGGTATTCGGAAATAACATGTATATAAAATGTCTAAACTTGTAAGAGATGTTTATATAGTTTCTAGTGATAGTTGTATGATAAACAGTATGAAAATTACAAATAAACAAGTGGGCTGCCACAGCGGAGGTGTGACTGTTGAGAGGTTGAATGATAACTATATCAATAAACATTATCACTATTTGGGGAATACAGTTGTGTTGTTGCATGCAACTCGTCGTCTTCACATATTGACAGTCTCAGTTCTGATGCTTACCTACGTCTCACCTGAAAGTTCACCAATATATAAAAAAACCATTTGACTATTAATATTGATACTTTCGACCTTTGTTTCAATTTTGTATTTGTTTAACCAGCGTCTGTTTGTTTTGCATTTTGGCCTTTATTAGTAACATTTAGTTCTTTATTCGTAATATTTGACCTTTATTGTGTACTTTTGTCGTTCTTTTCAACTTTGTATTTTTTGACCGAATGGCCGCCCATACACGATAATATCACTACTCTTGAACATTATATAAATATTATGATGGCTGACCATCCCGACAAAAAAACCATATATTTCTAGCGGGTGATCAAAATGCTAGAATGATTATATACCAGATGACAACATTGATTTTATTGATAAGGACATTGATGACCACTCCTCGGATTTCTTTGACCTACCAAGATCAAGCAGAGATAACCTTGTTCATACTGAGTAGGCAATCAGCTTGCGGAACTGTGTGGAACATTGGTATTCATGTTATGAATGGTAGACTGTTTGAAGATAAGCAAGGTCACT